CGTTGCAGTCTCCCATCCTGAGCAAGCACAGTGGCAACAGTGGAAAGAAAAACTCCCTTTTAACAGGAAGAAACCTCCAGCAGAACCAGGCTCAGGACAAGAGACCATCTGCTTTGACCGGCTGGTTCAGAGGACAGGAAGGAGAGACAGACGAACACAGAATGGTAGGTCCAGGTATAGGTCCAGGTATAGGTCCAGGTCCAGGTATAGGTCCAGGTGTATCTGAAAGACCAAAAAAAAAACACATGTTAAGGATAGAAAAAATAATTACAAATACAAAACAGGTTGAGCAGAGTAAGTAAAGACAGTAGTAGAGTGAAAAGTGTGGTCAGTTTGCAAAACTAAGGGACAGCTCAGGAAACCCAAGCCGACCCTAACTATGGGATTTATCATAAAGGAAAGTCTTAAGCCCAGTTTTAAAACTGGATAATGTGTCTGCCTCACGGACAGAGATTGGAAGTTGGTTCCACAAGAGAGGAACCTGATAACTGATAGATCTTCCTCCCATTCTGTTTTTGTAAACTCTAGGAACCACAAGTAAACCTGCAGTCTGAGAGCGAAGTGCTCTGTTAGGAAAATATGGAGCAATAAGATCTGTAATATAAGATGGAGCCAGATTGTTGAGAGCTTTATAGGTTAGAAGTAAGATTTTGAATTCAGTTCTGGATTTGACAGGGAGCCAATGGAGAGAAACTAAAACTGGAGAGATATGATCTCTCCCAGTAACTCCAGTTAAGACTCTGGCAGCAGCATTTTGGATCAACTGAAGACGTTTTAAAGAAGTATTTGGACATCCAGATAATAAACTATGTGATAATATGTGATAATAAACGGTGTGATTTGTTTTGGTCCGGTCTGTTCTCTACTCTGTTGGCCATTTTAGTTAGCTTCTGCTGCTATTTGTATCTGTATTTCTATTTTATGTTTTCCTGTCTGCTGTGCATGTTTGTTTCTTTTGTACAGCACTTTGGTTGGCCTTGTTGCTGTTTTAAGTGCTATATAACTAAATTGGTATGGTATGGTAAACTATTGCAATAGTCCAATCTAGATGTGACAAATGCATGGACCAGTTTTTCTGCATCATTTTTAGATCAGATGTTTCTAATGTTAGTGATATTACGCAGGTGGAAGAAGGTGGTTCTAGTAATGTTTTTAATGTGGGGGATAAAAGACATGTCCTGATCAAAAATAACACCAAGATTTTTAACATTAGAGCTGGAGGACAGATTAATGCATCTAAGGAGGGAGAAAGACTGAAAAATTAATTCCTAAGGTGCTCAGGTCCAAAAACCAAAACCTCAGTCTTGTCTGTGTTCAACAGGAGAAAATTAAGGGTCATCCAGGTTTTTATGTCTTTAAGACATGCTTGTAGTCTAAGTAGCTGATTGGATTCATTGGGTTTAATGGACAAATATAAGTGTGTGTCATCAGCATAACAATAAAAATTTATCCCATATTGTTTAATAATTTTACCTAATGGAAGCATATATAAAGTAAAGAGTGCTGGCCCAAGCACTGAGCCCTGAGGAACTCCATGACTAACTTTGGTGTCTGAAGAAGATTTATTATTTACATTTATAAACTGGAATCTATCAGAAAAATATGATTTAAACCATTTTAGAGCTGTTCCTGTAATTCCAATATCATATTAAGTCTCTGTAGTAAAATATTGTGATCAACTGTATCAAATGCAGCACTGAGGTCTAACAGGACCAGTATAGACACAAGTCCATTGTCTGAGGCCATGAGAATATCATTAGTAATTTTTACTAGTGCTGTTTCTGTTCTATGATGAGCTCTAAACCCTGACTGAAACTCTTCAAACAGATTATTTCTTTGTAGATGTTCACGCAACTGACCTGCAACTACTTTCTCTAGAATTTTTGAGATGAAAGTTAGATTAGATATAGGTCTATAGTTGGCCAGAATTTCTGAATCAAGATCAGACTTCTTAAGTAAAGGTTTAATTACAGCAACCTTAAAGTGCTGTGGTACATAACCATCCATTAAAGACAAATTAAGTAGATCCAAAATGTGGACATTAATTAGGGGAAATACCTCTTTAAACAGTCTGGTTGGGATGGGATCTAGCAGGCATGTGGATGGTTTGGATGAGGTTATTATTTTTGACAATTCAGAGCTCAACAGGACAAAAACTGTCCAAACATAAATCAGGCTCTAGTGAAATTTTTAAAGTTGCCTCATTTGACAGGGGACTAGAGATAGTAGAAGGAAGGATGGTTTGAATTTTATCTCTAATTGAAATAATTTTATTTATAAAGAATCTCATGAAGTCATCACTACTTATAGTTGTAGGGATACATGGTTCAACAGAGATGGAACTTTTAATTAGTCTAGCAATAGTACTAAACAGAAACCTAGGGTTATTTTTATTCTCCTCTATTAAAGATGAGTAATATAAAGTTCTAGCTTTACGGAGAGCTTTTTTATATGTTAGCAGACTATCTTTCCAAGTTAAATAAAATTCTTCAACATTAGTAGAGCGCCATTTTCTCTCCTGGTTTCTAGATGCCTGCTTTAAAGTACGTAACTCAGAATTGAACCAAGGAGCCAGTTTCCTCTGATTGATTACTTTCTTTGTCAGTGGAGCAATTTTATCAAGTGAAGTTTGCATTGAAGTTGTAAGATGATCAACTAGATGATCTAAGTCTCTGTTCTCTGATGCATTACTCTGCAAGACAGAGGAAAACATTGATGGAAGAGATTGTTTAAATTTGGTTACAGCATTTTCTGATAAGCACCTGCTCAGATGAAATTTACTCTCAGTGACTGTGTAGTCATTTAATGTAAACTCAAAGGTTATTAAAAAATGGTCGGACAGAACAGGATTTTGAGGAACTATTACCAAGTCCTTAATCTCTACACCATAGGTCAGAACTAAATCAAGAGTGTGATGATAAGAATGAGTAGATGTGCAGGTGTTAATGAGTCTATTAAATTATTAAAGGCTATGCTTAAGCTATCACTCTCAACATCCACATGAATATTGAAATCACCCATTATGATGATTTTATCAGTATTTAATAATAAGTCGGTTAAGAATTCTGAGAATTCAGACAAAAACTGAGAGTAAGCGCCTGGTGGACGATGTATAACAACTAGTAAAAGTGGCTTTTCTGATTCCCATTTTGGATGAGAAAGACTGAGGGACAGCGATTCAAAAGCATCATAACTAATAACTGGTTTGGCATTAATCAATAATCCTGACTGAAAAATAGAAGCTACTCCTCCACCTCGGCCACTTGTTCTAGGAACATGAAAATTTAAATAATTAACAGGAGTGGATTCATTTATACCAACAAAATCCTCCTGTTGTAGCCAAGTTTCTGTCAGACACAATAAATCAATATGATGATCAGTTATCAGTTCATTAACTAACAGGGATTTAGAGGAAAGAGATCTGATGTTCAATAATCCACATTTAATGATTTTATGATTTTGCTCTGGTAAAGTAACTGTGTTTATTTTAATCAGATTTTTATGGTTTATATTTTTAGAGCTGATTTTTTGTTTATTTAATTTGAGCTGTGGGCGAGTTGACCCTGTTTCAATGGGGGTGTGGGTGGGTAACAGAGGAGAAGCAGCAGAGAGGGGTGGAGGACTACAACTCTGCTTCCTGGACTGGACCCTGAGTTGTCAATAATTTGGGGGATAAACAAAATCAGCCATATTTCTAGAAAGAAGAGCGGCTCCATCTATACAGGTCCTTCTCAAAAAATTAGCATATTGTGATAAAGGTCATTATTTTCCATAATGTAATGATAAAAATGAAACTTTCATATATTTCAGATTCATTGCACACCAACTGAAATATATGAAAGTTTCATTTTTATCATTACATTATGGAAAATA